TTTTTCTGCTGTAAAGTTGGGCATTTTAACATGGGGAGCCTATGGGATTGACTCCCTTTTGCAGCCAGCCTCTAGCGGCCAGTCGATGAATTACAGTTTAAGTCACTTCCTTGTTGGCTTCACGAGAGAGAGCGGGAGAGAGCGGGCGGTAATATTATAATGAGATCCCTTTGCCACGTCACCAAGGGAGCGAAATCAGACTGGCTTGTTTCTCAGGACGCTTGCAGAAAAAGGCTTCCCAAAACAAAGTTACTAGGTTAATCTATTTCTGGTTTCCTTGGTTGGTAGATGCACCAGGGACATGATTATGGCACTTAAAACCTGGAAAAGTCAGATTTTCATGATATGTCACCTTTAAATTATTTGATAAAGACATTTATAATGTTACAAAAGATTTCTATTTCAGATTAATGCTGCTCTTCTGAACTTTTTATTTATCAAAAAAAAAAAACCTCAAAAAAAAATTATACTCAGCTGTTTTCAACATAGTAATAATAAATGTTCTTTGAGCAGCAAATCAGAATATTAGAATGATTTCTGAAGGATCATGTGACTGGAGTAATGATGCTGAAAATTCAGATTTGAAAGCACATGAATAAATTACATTTGAAAATATATTCAAAAATAAAACAGTTATTTTAAATAGTACAAATATTTCAAAATTGTTTCTTTTTTTGCAGTTCTTTGGATCAAATAAATGCAGGCTTGGTGAGCAGAAGAGTCTTCTTTAAGAAACATTAAAAATCTTACGTTCAAAAACTTTTGACTGGTAGTGTAGCCTACATGGCTGTTTTTCTGTATTCAGTGTTCATTAAAAGTCAATACAACACACTAATTTGCAACCTATATTTACTTCTGTAATCTAATGTAGTCTAATCTTATATACAGGTTTTGGACCACTCTTAATAGGCCAATAGGCTATACCTAATGCTCACAAGAGCAGGAACATGTAAACAGAGTGAGATTTAATTTAATGATTACGTTTTTTTTCACTCTATTTACTAAATTTGTGGTTTTGCTTTAAGTGTGACACTCAAGAGCAGGAACATGTAAACAGAGTGAGATTTAATTTAATGATTACGTTTTTTTTTCACTCTATTTACTAAATTTGTGGTTTTGCTTTAAGTGTGACACCACGGTAAAAGTTCACCGAGAACTGTATTTTAATTTCTCCAACAAAACGTAAATGTGTTGTTTACTAAGCGCTTGCAGTCTGAGCAGTCTGAGCGCCATGAGCTCTGACGTCACGTGAGTTTAAAATGAGGCCGCGCGAGAGGCAGAAACATTCGGCAACGGTGTCGGTTACAGAGGATGGTCCGCAGCGCAGTGCAGCGCTCCGACAACACTAGCCTGACAAGACGAACAGTCCATCGACATTTATAAAAGACACTCCAGGACTCTTCTTCATCTAGGCTGTCATAAATTACCTACGAGAAAGTGGAGAGTTTAATTCCAGAGACGAAGACTATGGACGAACAGCCAGCAGCGATTTCAGATCAGGGAAAGTAGAACGGACCAGGAGAAGGTATGTATTTTGTATTTCGCTTCTTTAGCCTATAGTAGTACACTGTAAACGGCTATTAAATTGTATAAACGCACTGTGTTGCTGAATCATATGTAAGCTGTTCAGTAAACGGGATGAATAGCCTATATCATGCTGAATTTCTATTGAAAAAAGTCTTATTTACCAAATTTAGCCTCAGACGACTTTATAAATTTAGCCATTGAACATTATTAATCGAGTTTCAGTTGATAGTTAAACTGGTCAATAAAGGTACATATAGGACATATGGTTTCATTAATGATATTTAATAGCCTAGGCTACTCTTTTACACCCTATAGGCTACATACGACATTTACACGTGTTTTCATTCTGTAAGCTCGCTAATGGAAGTAAATCAAATGTTTTGTTTGGAGAAATTTTATTTATTTATTTTGTAATTGATAACTATTTTTTTTTATCATGTCATTTTAGCTCAGTTTAGGCGACAAGATCGATTGTGTGAGCTGTCAATTTGGCCAACCTACATTGCTGCAGTCTATATTTATTTATAAGCATGGTAGATTTTCTCCTATAGCCAAAGTTGATGTATCGTATCCAGTACAGTTCTCCAGTCAGTGTCTTCATTCAGTCGAGCTTTTTCTGGCTCTAATTATTTTAGCTAGGAAATGCTGTTATAAATAAAACTAAATGCGTTGTCGTATAGGCAATATGTGAATAAAATCAAATATGCTTACTTAATCTATCTGTATTTTATCTTGCTAACTGAATGTTTTACTGACGTAATATTATTTAATAAATATTATAGAGTATTGCGTTATCAAACCACTAGTAAGGGTTTGATTTCTGTGAAACCTTGTCTTGCCACTGTAATTTACAAGGGTTGTAACTGGAACGCTCTCATTGTAAAACATTAACAGGTATTCATAAAACGAGTTTATGTATGCTAATGAAGACTAACAAATAAGTCAAGCATTTACTGAATAGGCAAGTTACTGTGGGTTTTTTTCTGTTAAAAGCATATAAAGCATTTGAGACGAGACGACGCACCGGTCGCTCGGGATCGTCTTCTTTCCATTCATTACTTTTGATTTAAAGTTTTGGGGCCACTAGATGGCTCTGTTGAGCAATTTGACAGCCTTATTGAGATGTTCAGAGCCTCTGTGCATTATCAAACAGATGCAGTCCTCTAAATCTAAAAATATATCCGGTTTAGATGATATAGTACAGTCATTTTTTCCAGCAACAATATTAGGGACAATATTCCTTCATACAGACAAGAACAGCTCTATAAAATATAACTGGTTGGCCCTTGCAGTGTTTATTATCATACATAAGGCTGCTGCTGTATGCTGTTTTGTGGGGACATCATTTGTTTGTGATTTGGCAGTGTCTATTTTGTAACTTTATTTTTGAAAATGTATGTCTGAGCTTTCCAGGTTGTGAGGCAGTTGCTTTCTCTGGCTGTTAAACGTCAAAAGTTAAATGTCTCATAACATCAGCACTATTGACTTTCTGGATTCTCGTTGCAAACTAAAGTCATAAAGATGACTGACCAATACCCTTTATGATGCAAAATAAGATGCATATTTCTGTTACTGACAAGTCAGTTTTGTACTCGTCTTTGAAGTGTGCATGGCCTGCATTTAATTCAGAATGTGGAAAAACATTATGGGTTTTGTTGCATGTGAAGCAAATGTATGCACAGTTTTGTCTGACTTTCATTTGTTTCTCAGTCTGTCTGGCATATCTAGGGCTGTGTTTGCCTGTGTGTTGGTTAGTCGACTTGCCTATACTGCATTACAGCCATCTGTCAAAAAGTCATAAATGTACTTTGCCAATACAGTAATGCAGCTTTTGTTTCCAGTCTTGAGCTTTTAGCCTAATTAAACAGCAGTCTTGTTGAGAAGATATTCATTATTTGGCTGCTATTTATTCTGCCCAATTATTCCTTTAAGACAAACTAAAAAAGGCATTGTTGTGTTTAGTTTTTTCTCCCAATGCATGAATATTTATTAATATGTGCATATTGTAAAAAATTATACATTACATTTAAATGCAGCTCAGTCTTGAGTCAAGTTATTTCCGGGACTGCTGAATAGGTTTAAAAGGTACAAAGGTGCAAAACTTTGTTTCTCCCAATATAATATTAGGTTATTATGTAAATACAGACACTACATTTGACCAGAGAATCATGAATAATATAGTATTACAACAACACTATCTAAATAAACAATGTACAAGATTTAGAGCAAATATGAAAATAATGATAATGTTTGATGATGTTGACTGCTTGTACCCATTACCACTAGTTCAATATGACCTTGATGTGTAATGTGTTTGAGTCCTGCATGTTGTTGTCAAGCCTAGCCTTCTGTGTGACTGAGCATGCATGTGTGTGAGTAAGACAGGAGGCTCAACAATGAGAGACTGAGTGCTGCTTTGTGCAGCACCACTGGCCTGTGAGCTCTGATTCGTCCTGACAGCACTTAATGACAGGGAAGCAGGGGCATTTTTGGTTTAATTTTCTGAGCTGGTTTGCAAAGTGAAGCCTGAACCAAGGGCAAAGGCAAATCTTTTGGATATTTTCCTTGCTGTGCCATCGCCTGTAGAGTTTACAGTCTAGTAAACCCTTTCAGCTGGAAATCCTGATGTTTGTTTCAATCAATAGTCTTAATTAGTGCTGATTAATGAAGGAACACTGGCTGTGCATTGCTAATAGTTGTTTGAATTCCCAAGGACGATTTGCTTTAACTATGCTTTGACTGGCATTTTAAGTTCTGAATCAAATGTAAATTTATGACGTGCTTTTGCACATTTCTGAAATATTTAGGCCTGATGATATTCAAATTGCAGATGAGATTGGTTTTAATTGGTTAGGTATTGGTGCTGGTGAATTGAAGCATATAGGGGTAGTTCAAATTAAGATTTCATATTCTGTGTCTAAACACTGACTCAGATCAATGCAGAAAATGAGCTGCATCCTTTTGTTTTAGTATTCAGATTTGAAAGGCTTATTTATTTTTATTGAGTCTGGTTAAATGTAATCACAACAACATAAATATAACATTAGTATCACAAGCTGTTAGCTCATTTTTATATTTTAAGTTTGTTTCAGCCATTGCATGGAATGTGTTAGAGGATTTAGATGCTAATATAATCAAGGAGATTCAAGAATCATGGCATATCCATTTTGAGTTTTAAAGACTGATGCTTTATGTGTGTGTAAAGGTAATCACCAGTGTTTGGCAAATTGTAGAAACTGGTTGAAATGTCCTTGTTTTGTTGTGACCCTCATCAGAGTCTCTGCTTGGTTTCCATTTCCTTTATATGTCTACCGGTTTGCTCATTTTCATGTCAATTTTGTACCTTAATTATGATGGCGGACACAAATAGGGATATGGAGACTTGAATAGAAGTGGCTGTTGGATTGTAGATGTATTATGCATTAGGATGCTATAGGCATGTACTGATCATGGAAGACTTGAGATTGATTGTTTATGGCCCTGTCTTTGTTTGTACGTGATGTCATAAATTATATAAAATAGTTTCTAGTGTTTTGCTGCTCTTCAGATTTATACCTATCTGTCCATTGCTGATGGGCTCACTTTACAAGAGCGATTGATAGGACTTTTTCCCCAAGAAAATGTTTTACCTTTGCTGAAACAGGATTCATATCTAAATATGCAGGCAGTGTTCCATGACCTGTTAAATATTCTGGTTTATGTTTTTTAAAATTCATTACTTATGGTTTAAAAAAATGTCAAGTTTGGTGTTAATTTATCGTTAATTGCTAGAAAATCTCATAATCACATACATTGGTGTTTTAAACTATTAACACTCTTTGGTAAAAGGCTTTTAAAATGGCAAGCCTCATATAAAATTAATAGAAAATAAAATGGCTCATATAATATTTACTTTAACCATTTGAAGTTGAACATAAGCTGAAGGTTAAGCTACTCTTTTTACTTATATTAGCATAAAATACAACGTTCAAGCCCTATTTTACCTTATTTTTGAAAAATGCACAACAAAAAATTGAGATGGTAAGAATATGTATGTAGGTTTATTATTAAACAGACTGTCTTTGTAAGCCATACAATGATGGATGAAACATCAGCCAATTATAATGAGAATGAATCATGTTCTAAATTGGAATGGGCATATGCAATTGGACTTGAGATGCTCCTCTGCTGGAGTTCACTTGATTATACATTTCTAGTAATGTTTTTTAAAAACATCTTATTTGTTGGGGGGTTGGATAGGTCGAAATTCAGAAGAAATCAATCAATCTCTATTATTCTACTTTAAAGGGGTCCTATTATGCTTTTTTACAAAGTCTTGATTTTAATTTGGGGGTGTACTAGAACAGGCTCTCATGCTAGGTTGTTCGAAAAACACATTATTTTTTCACATATTTTACATTATTACAACACCTCTCTCCCCAGTCTGGCATGAACGGCTTGAATAGTTCCTGTATCAAATGAAGGCCGGCCTTCTGAAATACGAAATGTGCTGTGATTGGTTAGCTGGGCCAGTGTGTGTTGTGATTGGCACCACTCAGTGCCTGATCGGGAAATGTCATGCCCCTTACCACAGCCGCTTGCGAGCTTTAATGTAAATATTGTGTCAAAATCAAATCAATTTGAGCGCGATTTAAACACTGGGTTATTGTAACCACTCTAAGTTCATCTGCCTTGGGAAAGCTAGCGTGTCTCCGACATAGTGATAACACTCATTGCCTTCTCTAGTGCAGCTCAACCAGGTCTCTTCCCAATCGTCAATATTTGTGATATCACAAATCCCGGAAAAGTTGTAGTCCAAACGAGTCGTTCGCTGTAGTTTTTGAAAAGTGATTTCTGTTAAATAAAATATCTCCCTTTGAAGTGGACTTTGAACTTTGTAACTTTGCAGATCTTTTTTTATGCTCGAAAAGCAACATTACAGACTAACTAAAGTTGAAAAAGTGAAATAGCATAATAGGACCCCTTTAACATGGTATTCGGTATTTCATGTAGTATTCA